AGCAGAGAGGGAGAGGACCTAGTAGCGATCAGTGAAGAGGCGGGGCCAGGAGCTGAGTATCGACCCCTGCAACCACAATCAGGTGAGTACAATTAGGTGAGTACACACACACACACAAACACACACGCGAGGATCAGGCAGGACTACAAAGAGACCTGGACAGGCTACAAGCCTGGTCCAGCAACTGGCTCCTTGAGTTTAACCCTGCCAAATACAAAGTCATGAAGATTGGGGAATGGCAAAGAAGACCGCAGACACAATATAGTCTAGATGGCCAAAGACTGCAAACCTCACTCAAGGAAAAAGATCTGGGAGTGAGTATAACACCGAGCATATCTCCTTAGGCGCACATCAATCAGATAACTGCTGCAGCATACGGGCGTCTGGCAAACCTACGGATAGCATTCCGATACCTCAGTAAGGAATCGTTCAAGACTCTGTATACCATTTACGTCAAGCCCATACTGGAGTATGTAGCACCAGTTTGGAATCCACACCTGGTCAAGCACGTCAAGAAATTAGAGAAAGTGCAAAGGTTTGCAACAAGACTAGTCCCAGAGCTAAGGGGATTGTCCTACGAAGAAAGGTTGAGGGAAATCGGCCTGACGACACTGGAGGACAGGAGGGTTAGGGGAGACATGATAACGACTTTTAAAATACTGCGCGGAATAGACAAGGTGGACAAAGACGGGATGTTCCAGAGATGGGACACAGAAACAAGAGGTCACAATTGGAAGTTGAAGACTCAGATGAATCAAAGGGATGTTAGGAAGTATTTCTTCAGTCATAGAGTAGTCAGGCCGTGGAATAGCCTAGAAAGTGACGTAGTGGAGGCGGGAACCATACGTAGTTTTAAGGCGAGGTATGATAAAGCTCATGGGGCAGGGAGAGAGAGAGGACCTCGTAGCAATCAGCGAAAAGGCGGGGCCAGGAGCTCTGACTCGACCTTTGCAGCCACAAATAGGTGAGCAAATAGGTGAGAACACACACACAAACAACATACACAACACACACACACTCACACACACACACACGCACACACACACACACACACACACACACACACACACACACACACACACACACACACACACACACACAATACACACACGCACACGCACACTATATAATTATACATATTATATATATATTTTTATATATATATTATATTTATTTTATATATATATATATATTATATATATATATATATATATATATAAATATATTAAAATGTCGTGCCGAATAGGTTAAACTTGCGGTTTTGGCTTAAATAGCAATGCACTTCTTGCCAAATAGAGGAAGCGAAAATTTGTGTATGCAATAATTTGGCAAAAATCATTTTGAATCTAAAGAAAAAAAATATATTTTATTGTTTGTTTATTATTAAATTACTGTAAGCTTATATAAAATATATTTAATTGAAATAGGCTAAATTAAATTGCGCTTGTTATAATAATATACATGTCGTGCCGAATAGGTAAAACTTGTCAATTAGCAAAAACTCACTTAAAATTAAATCCTTACTAAAATTTTCTCTTATACATTTACAGATATATTTTTTTTATTTATGTTAATATACAAATTAATGATTTTGTACCAAAAAACTTTAGGAAATTTACTTAACCTTATTATAACAAGCGCAATAAAATTTAGCCTAATCCAACTAAATATAATTTATATAAGTGGAAAATAATTTAATAATCAAAAACATTAAAATACATTTTTTTTTCGTTAGGTTCAGAATTATTTTTGCGAAATTATTGTATTCGTAAATTTTTCGCAAGATCAATGCAATTTAAGCCAAAATCGCAATATTTACTTATTCGGCTCGGCAAGACAGACAACAGACAGAGACAGAGACACAGACACAGACACAGACACAGGCACACAGACACACACACACACACACACACACACACACACACACACACACACACACACACACACACACACACACACACACACACACACACAATTGGTAATCTACGGAACAAGGCGAGTAAGTTACTACAAGCCTAGGTGGTAGGACAAGCATAATGGGCAACATTGTAAGAAGGTGTGGATCAAGTCCCAGGAGGGTGGGGGTCAGGTCACAAGAGGTTGTGGTCAGGCAAGGAACCACTGACACTCCACATAACACTCCAACGCACAATTCCACCAACTTTTCAGACACTTAATAAACCCACACATAATTCCACACATAACTAAACACACAGACACACACACACACACACACACACACACACATATAGGAGCTATGACTCGACCCCTGCAACCAGAAATAGGTGAGTACACACCCACCCACATATACAGACGCGTGGGTCGGTGGGGTGCAGACCTGGGTAACAAGACTCCGAGAACCTTAGCGTTGAAAGGTGTGCAATAACAGCTAGCAGTAATCAGTGGTAGTGGAACGTCAGTGAACAATACTACGAGTGATAATTAAAGTTATTAGTTAAAGAAAGTGAGAGGAAAGCTGAAATCATAATGTTTCAAAGCGCAAACCGTTGGGGGTCTTAGGCGCTGTTGCCACATTGGCAGCGGTAGGCCTGAAGAAGTGAGGTCACGACAAGTTGTGTGCCATTATACATATAAAGTGAAGTGTATATAATGTGAAGTGTATACTATCATCAGTGAAGAGTGACATCGCGTGAGGAAGCGGGATGTATGAGAAAATATGGTTATAAACATCACGGGTGAAGGATCTCCAAAATAGGGATTTAAGGCCTACGTACGACGACTCCGTCATCAGCAGCTGGCAACCTGTCACCGCACCATTGAGCGCAAGTTTATTCGCCTATTTGTGGTTTGCATGTTGACGGCCCTGGCTGGCCTTGCATACTGTTTGATACTGGTCACTCACTCCTGCAAGCTGTTACCAGAATTAGAATAGAAATAGCATAGACATAGTGAATATAGTGTTGACGAGTGTGAGAAGGTAGGTGGGACAAGCTTTTAAGGGCAACATTGTAAGATGGTGCGAGGGTCGGTCAAGTCCCAGGAGGGTTGTGTCAGGTCACAAGAAGTTGTGGACAAACGAAAATTTGTGTATGCAATAATTTCGCCAAAATCACTCTGAACCTAACGAAAAAAATATATTTCACTGTGTTTGTTTAGTATTAAATTATTGTAAACAAATCTAAAATATATTTAGTTGGGTTAGTCTAAAATAAGTTGCTCTTGTTATAATAAGGTTATGTAAGTTTTCTAAGATGCTTTTGGTGCAAAATTTAAAATTTTTACATTAACATTAATGAAAAAAATATATCTTTAAACGTATAAGAGAAAATTTTAGAAAGAACTTAATTTTAAACGAGTTCTTGCTAAATGACCAGTTTCACATATTCGGCACGACATATATATATATATATATATATATATATATATATATATATTATATATATATATATATATATATATATATATATATATATATATATATATATATATATGCAAAACAACCACTCTGAAAGAATAGAGAAATTCCAAGCGCTTTCGTGACTACTCACATTATCAAGGAACTATGAAAGTAAAGCATCCAAGGAAGCTATATAAGGGGTCCGGTCAGCACCTCACTATCAGATCCCACAACGGTTAAACACGTGACGCGCGGCGACCCAACTTGGATAGGTCCCTTGCACAACTCACCCCCAAGCTATTCTACCCAAGAAAATTTAAAAATTATTATTTGTCCAGTGTATTATTAAATTCTTCCCAAATTCTATTAATTATAAATGTGTCTAATTTATATAAACCAAAGGAAATATTCATATTATTGTCAAAAATCTTGATACAGTGAAAAAACTTTTGATAAAGAATTCCCCCCAAAATGCTGATGGATGTGTCTATAAGATTCCTTGTAAAATTTGCGATAAAGTTTATTACGGTCAAACTGGTAAAAATCTCGAACTAAGATTAAAACAACATAAATATAGCATTAGAACTGGACAAGATTCCAATGCTCTATTTATTCATGTAAGAGATTTTAACCATCCAATTGATTTTCAAAAAGTTGAGAAAGTTGTATCAAGCACGACAGGAATATAATTGAATCTTGTTTCATAAAAAGCAGTTTTGACAATAATATGAATATTTCCTTTGGTTTATATAAATTAGATCCATTTATAATTAACAGAATTTGGGAAGAATTTAATAATACACTGGACAAATAATAATTTTTAAATTTTCTTGGGTAGAATAGCTTGGGGGTGAGTTGTGCAAGGGACCTATCCAAGTTGGGTCGCCGCGCGTCACGTGTTTAACCGTTGTGGAATCTGATAGTGAGGTGCTGGCCGGACCCCTTATATAGCTTCCTTGGATGCTTTACTTTCATAGTTCCTTGATAATGTGAGTAGTCACGAAAGCGCTTGGAATTTCTCTATTCTTTCAGAGTGGTTGTTTTGCATATTTTGAAATCACCTGTTTACTGTGATCTTATTGCATATATATATATATATATATATATATATATATATATATATATAATATATATATATATATATATATATATATATATATATATATATATATACATATATATATATACAACAACAACAGTGCCCTAGCCAAGGATTCGAACCCATGTTATACTGGCCCGCCTCATGGTGAACGAGAACCACTTCACACTTAAAACTACAGAGCCACCCAATCATACAAGAATGGCGCAGCCAGCAGAGCTAGCTGTTTTACCGCCATCCAAGGGCATTCGGTGTTGTGGGAGCTTCTGAGCTAATTTCATTCTCCTCCCTGTTTGGTGTGCTATCTTCACTCACGAGCAGCGGTTACATTAATGTATATATGCTGCTCGTGAAGCTGGTACACCCAATATCTCTCCAATATTTTTTTAAAAGATTGACCAATATGATATATGTAATATGGCACTCCGTTCTTAGACTAGCTCACCTGACCTCTAGCTGTACATACACTTGTTACATTGTCTTTGATCTAGGAAGGTATAAAGGACCCAGGAGAAACGTTTCCTCAATAAATATATTGAAATATACTTACGTTTCTTTATTTACTTATTGGTGGATGCCTAAAACAATCCCATAACTCTCAAGTTAGTGGTGAGCACCACTAAAAATATTATTAATTTCGTGTGGATGGAGGTTGAGTACCATAGAAAGTGTTGCAGCGTGAGTGTTCTAGTCAGGTAGCACAATAAGTTTCGCAGCGTCAGTGTTCTTGTCGGGTAGCACAGCAAGTGGCGCATCATCAGTGTTCTTGGGTAACATTTTAAGTGTTGTGGTGTAGTCATCATCATCATCATCATCGCGCTTATTGAATCTCCGCCACAACCAGTGATAGAATCGTGCACAAGTTGGATTGACAACGTTGTCGTCTAGAGCTTTTGGGCTGAGGGGACCTGTGAAAATTTTAATGTAAGTAAGATTTCATAGTCATTTTTGACAATAAATCGGCCTCTGAATTAATGATTTGAAAAGAACTGGCTTGTTGATTAGTGTGCTAGATTTAAATCCTGTCGACTGCACCATGGTCATTTAGGTTACAATATTCCTGAACATGACTCAGCAAAACTTAAACACTATAATAACGTTTATTTCGGTTGCTTCGCGAACCGAGGAAGGTATCCCCATATTTCATACCTCCAGCTCTCTCTACCTTAAAACAAGTATAAGAATTTAGACAGAGTGCTACAGAAGTTTCTAATTTATCACATGATTAGTAAGATCTCAGTTCCTTCAATAAAATTACAAATTAGAGCATATACAGCCAAGAAAAAAAAAAAACTTTACATTGCGAAAACCCAGTTTTGAAACCAAGCTGAAGAGGCATACTCTCCTTATCTCAAAAAGACCAGCATTTTAAAATACAACAGAATAATAAGTTTGAAGCAGCTCGGAATTTCCACTACCATGTAATCTGCGTTGAAGCCTCAGAACTCATGACAGGAAAACAAGTATTTCAGTTTTTCCCAACTTTTGTAATGAAAGAAGACAAACTGGGGCCGTCACAGGCCAAATTATTTCCAAACTTTTCTCTAAGTAAGACTGACCAGAGTTTAGGGTTTAAATGTAAGTAATTAAGCTTTCCTAAAGCGTTAGGTACACATTATGCAAATTTTACAATTGTCTTGAGGGTACACAGATGTTACGTGTGCATAAAAGCACATTAGATAGACTTAACAGAATCCAGTTTGATTAACATAATTTGGAAATTTAACTTTCACTACCTAAAATGAAAGCGAAGTTTCCGTTGAGAAAAAAAAAAAAACATCAGAATTAACAATTTAAAGGTAACTTGAAGAGGCAGTCTCCAGTTACTGCCCAGAATCCATCAAAATGTGCATCTATAACTCGAAATGCAAATAACACATCATCCATTTAATTAGACGTATCAGCCACTAAGATTTATTTTAATCAGATAATTATTAAGCAGTATTAATACAGCACTTGTGGAATGGAAGGCGATCAGAGTTCATCCAAAGAAAAGAAACAATCACTTCTCTACCTTCGATATTAATGATATATTGGAAAAAAAAGTTATGTAGGTAACATAAAATTTAGATATACAGAAATTTTGAAGAGTGGATGGAGGGAGTATGGACGAAGTTGATGTATTTTGTTATTTGAAAGTTCACTCTTTGATAGATGGATTGATGAAAGTAGAAATGAACCACAGACTTGATGAGCACATAATATAATACTTAAGATAAAGTAAATTTTCAACAATTTCAACAAATTTACTAGTTTTCACTTTCATATAATTGTTTTTTCTCACAAAGGAAAAGTGACTCAGCGAAGAAAACTGCAATTCTTATTTTCACCTCTAAAACCTACGTCCAGGTAACCTATTTTCCTGAACACCTTCAGTGATTTTAACCATCCTGGAACGTCAACAATACGTCATATCCCATTAAACCACCACTACTCAAAACCTCCTTTCCATCCAATCTAATTAACACATATTCTAAATATCTTATTTCCTTCTTTTCTTTCTTTCTACATGATAAAACCATCTCAACACCCACTCTTTCGCAACTTAATTTATTTCCTACCCAATTTTGCACTCTTACCAAATGTCCTTTGTGTCAGTATTCCTCTGTGCTGTAATATTTAAGAGTCATGGATCACGTCCATATGTGAAGACTACTATAAACTGATGTATTTTACAGTGACATCAATTGTCAGACTTCATATTGTGAAACACATATATGTGATTCACACCGTGGGAGCTGTTTTAAGTACTAACACCTCGACACACTTAACATTATAACACATATATGTGATACACACCGTGGGAGCTGTTTTAAGTACTAACACCTCCCACACTTAACATTATAACACATATATGTGATACACACCGTGGGAGCTGTTTTAAGTACTAACACCTCGACACACTTAACATTATAACACATATATGTGATACACACCGTGGGAGCTGTTTTAAGTACTAACACCTCGACACACTTAACATTATAACACATATATGTGATTCACACCGTGGGAGCTGTTTTAAGTACTAACACCTCCACACACTTAACATTATAACACATATATGTAATACACACCGTGGGAGCTGTTTTAAGTACTAACACCGCGACACACTTAACATTATAACACATATATGTGATTCACACCGTGGGAGCTGTTTTAAGTACTAACACCTCGACACACTTAACATTATAACACATATATGTGATACACACCGTGGGAGCTGTTTTAAGTACTAACACCTCCACACACTTAACATTATAACACATATATGTGATACACACCGTGGGAGTTGTTTTAAGTACTAACACCTCCACACACTTAACATTATAACACATATATGTGATACACACCGTGGGAGTTGTTTTAAGTACTAACACCTCCACACACTTAACATTATAACACATATATGTGATACACACCGTGGGAGTTGTTTTAAGTACTAACACCTCCACACACTTAACATTAAACACATATATGTGATACACACCGTGGGAGCTGTTTTAAGTACTAACACCTCGACACACTTAACATTATAACACATATATGTGATACACACCGTGGGAGCTGTTTTAAGTACTAACACCTCCACACACTTAACATTATAACACATATATGTGATACACACCGTGGGAACTGTTTTAAGTACTAACACCTCGACACACTTAACATTATAACACATATATGTGATACACACCGTGGGAGTTGTTTTAAGTACTAACACCTCCACACACTTAACATTATAACACATATATGTGATACACACCGTGTTAGCTGTTTTAAGTACTAACACCTCGACACACTTAACATTATAACACATATATGTGATAAACACCGTGGGAGCTGTTTTAAGTACTAACACCTCCACACACTTAACATTATCATTTTTGTCTTACATTTTTTGAGAGCTAAAATGTTTGCAGTCACAAAACCTAATATTTTAAAATAATATTGATAATTATTGTTTTTGTAGCATATAACTTTCTCGGTATTTTCATAATGAGATCTTTGTGGAACATTCTTTTATCTATAATTTTCCCTTGATTCCTCTATCTGGTTCCAATATAGTTTAAAAATATATATTCAACATGTCTCTTGTAATCACTTTCTTTTATTCTCATTAGAGTGCATATTTCTTCTCTCATTTCAATCATCTAGTTAACAATCCATTTTCTTAAATTATCCAAGTCTTCTTGTACAGGTATTCAATAATTATTGTAAGGATATTGAACAGGATTACAACATATTTTCAAAAATTTAATATACTTTTCAAAAAAATTCTAGTCAGAAAAGCAAATCAATTTTAAAATGTTGCATATTTTTTATAATTCGTGTGGGATCATTTCAACATTTTCTTGCTGTTATTCAACTTGATATTCTAATTTGATGTTTTCTTTCATGGTGAACTGAATCCATATTTTTTGCTAATTTAAATAAAGGTGATCTGCCTAACTATTTCTTCAATGATCTCCATCATTATTGCAACAGAAAATTTAAATATGTTGTTATAAATCAGGTTTTTGAAGTTTTAGTAAACCTGACAAATTAATTAAATACAAATTAAACCTCAGTAAGTGCATGTTCTTATGTGTGTGTGGGTGGGTGTGTGTGTGTGTGTGTGTGTGTGTGTGTGTGTGTGTGTGTGTGTGTGTGTGTGTGTGTGTGTGTGTGTGTGTGTGTGTGTGTGTATGTGTATGTGTGTGTGTGTGTGTGTGTGTGTGTGTGTTGTGTGTGTGTGTGTGTGTGTGTGTGTGTGTGTGTGTGTGTGTGTGTGTGTGTATGTGTGTGTGTGTGTGTGTGTGTGTGTGTGTGTGTGTGTGTGTGTATGTGTGTGTGTGTGTGTGTGTGTGATGTGTGGGTGTTGTGTGTGTACTCACCTAGTTGAGGTTGCAGGGGTAGAGTCCAAGCTCCTGGCCCCGCCTCTTCACTGGTCGCTACTAGGTCACTCTCCCTGAACCGTGAGCTTTATCATACCTCTGCTTAAAGCTATGGATCCTGCCTCCACTACATCGCTTACCAAACTATTCCACTTACTGACTACTCTGTGGCTGAAGAAATACTTCCTAACATCCCTGTGATTCATCTGTGTCTTCAACTTCCAACTGTGTCACCTTGTTGATGTGTCCCATCTCTGGAACATCCTGTCTTTGTCCACCTTGTCAGTTCCTCTCAGTATTTTGTATGTCGTTATCATGTCCCCCATATCTCTCCTGTCCTCCAGTGTCGTCAGGTTGATTTCCCTTAATTTCTCCTGGTAGGATATACCTCTTAGCTCTGGGACTAGTCTTGTTGCAAACCTTTGTACTTTCTCTAGTTTCTTTACGTGCTTGGCTAGGTGTGGGTTCCAAACTGGTGCCGCATACTCCAATATAGGCCTAACGTACACGGTGTACAGGGTCCTGAACGATTCCTTATTAAGATGTCGGAATGCTGTTCTGAGGTTTGCTAGGCGCCCAATGCTGCAGCAGTTATTTGGTTGATGTGCGCTTCAGGAGATGTGCCTGGTGTTATAATAACCCCAAGATCTTTCTCCTTGAGTGAAGTTTGTAGTCTCTGGCCCCCTAGACTGTATTCTGTCTGCGGTCTTCTTTGCCCTTCTCCAATCTTCATGACTTTGCACTTAGTTGGGTTGAACTCCAGGAGCCAATTGCTGGACCAGGTCTGCAGCATGTCCAGATCCCTTTGTAGTTCTGCCTGGTCTTCGATCGAATGAACTCTTCTCATCATCTTCACGTCATCTGCAAACAGGGACACTTCGGAGATTATTCCTTCCGTCATGTCGTTCACAAATACCAGAAACAGCACTGGTCCTAGGACTGACCCCTGTGGGACCCCGCTGGTCACAGGTGCCCACTCTGACACCTCGCCACGTACCATGACTCGCTACTGTCTTCCTGACAAGTATTCCCTG